TTCTTTCTTTTCTTGCACAATTTTTTAAAAATGGCATATAATCATTATCATTTGCAATAGCAATTATCACTCAGAATAGAAATTTAAATGGAGCTGAGAGATAACACATTTCTCAGGCATGGTATTCCAGTGAAAATTCTCCACCTTCTCCTGGGGGATCACATTGGGAGGCGATATTAGTCTCCTTTCTCTTTTTTTTCTTTGCATTGCAGTGCTGGGCCCACAATATACCTTCACTTGCATGTGTATTGAATAAATTTTCTGCTCCTCTTCTTCCTACTATTGCCTCTCCTACAGAAAAACTGGGACTACATTCTGAGCCTCCTCTAGAATGACGATGAAAGGAAAAGAATTGAAGCTTCTCTCCAAGGCCTCACATTTGAAACCTAGGTAGCCCAGAATTGTGTGTCAATACCCATATCTAAAGAAGATCCTTGAGAAGGAGGTATAATATGTCAACAGGTAAAATTTGAAGGAAAATGTTTACATGTGTGTCTGTAAGTGTGGGTGTCTGTCTTCCCTATCAAATGGACAAAGCTAAAAACCTCTGGGACGTCAAAGGTTAACACACATATACTCTCATACTCTGCTAGTGAGAAGGTAAGCAATGTTTTGAAAGAGAAATTAGGAAACAAGTATAAAAAAGTGTCATGAAAGATAACCATGGTTCTTCCACTTCTAGGAATTTATTCTAAGGGAAGAATACAGGATGTGCACAAAGATTTAGCCTCAAAGATGGCGGCCAATCTGTAATAGCCAAAAATTAAAACAATCTAATAGGTCAGTAATAAGGGGATGGTCAAATTAATTATAGTATACCAAAATGATAGAGTACTATGTATTTTTAAAAATGTATAGAATGCATTTTGACATGGAACAATGCTCACAATTTTGTTAAACAGAAAAAGCAAAATATGTTACAAATTTTTTAGGTGAGGTATGTGTGCATATATATACATTTAAATGCATATATGTATGAGAAAATAGATAAAAAGGCATCTTCGAGTATTTGTATTCTATGTCTCTTTCTCTTCATCTTTCTCCGTATCTGAATTTTCCAATTGGTCTATGATAAACATGAATTACTTATTAAATAAACGTATAAAAATGAACATGATTATAAAAATCCATATTGTTAACATCATTCTAAAAAAAACATGTCCCTTTAATTATCTGTGTCTGCTAGGTTAAACAGGAAGTCCTTGTGAGTTAATATTGGATGACATGACAGATAGAAATGGAGAGGAATAATCTATACTCAAAAAAGTCATCTGACTAGTGTGTTTCATGTTCTCATATATGTTAGGTTTTTTAAAACTAAAAAGTCCTTGTAACAAAAACTAAAAATCAAAAGGCCAATATTGAGATTTTTCTCCATGTATATAACTGATTCTTAGAATATATTGCCTTTTAATTTAGATCAAAGTATCAAAATTGTCTTTGATCCAAAACAGCCATGCAGATCCAGCATTTACAGCTGAAGTCAACCTATTTATAATCACAGATTTTTTTTAAATCCCCGATTTTGTTTTTATCCCTATGATGCAAAGAGGGTTAGTGATAGTACAACTTCGAGAGCAACAGCTCTGCTTTGTTTGTGAAGTAGTCCTCTTTACTAACACAGGAAATTAAAAATGCAAACACCACCAGTTAGGCAATCAGGAAATCAGCGTTGTGAATGTCAGGGCTTTGAGGGTACAATTTAGGGAATGAGTTTTTCCCTTACCAGAACTATATTCACTAAGTAATTCATTTTGTTTTAACTAGAGTTATCCCCTTCCATTAACTGGGGAAGTAAGTCCAAATTAAAATCGCTGTTCATCAATTACTGCTGGAGGCATGCTCAAGCCTGGTGTTAGGACCTAGGAAATAAAGCTCATCAACTATAATTTTAATCATTGTTATCTCAGAGCTCTCAAAAGGAATAATTTGGGGTAGGGGAGAAATCGGAAACTCCTAGTTTTGCTGACACGAAGGCAGATATCTCTGAGGATTTTTAATTTATTTAATCATTAAATTTTTCAGTGCATTTTAATTTTTTCCTTTTCAATGAATACTTGCTAGGCACTGGAGGAGATACAGTGGTGAATATTGTGACATAGTCCCTATCCTCATACAGCTTACATTCTAGTGGGAGGGAAAGATATTACATGAAAAATCGTAATTACAAATCGTGATGAGCATTTTAGAGGAAGGGGCAGGGTCTGAGAAAGAATAATGAGGAGATGCCAGTTTACCTGGGTGAGTCTGGGAACTCTTCCTTAAGGAGGTGACACTGAAGCTCTGACATGAAGGTTGAGAGTCATTCACACTCCTCATAATACTCTTCTCTGCATTTTGTTAGCATCACTCTTTCCTGATCTTCCCACTACCTTCCCGGCCATTCCAACTCAGCTTTCACTGTGGGTTCCTCCTTCTCTATCCAATCTTTCGACTCTGAAGTTCTTCGAGGCTAAGTTCTATAACCTCTTCTCTTCTCACTCCAAAGTTCCTCCCAAGGCAATTGATTCCACTCCTATGACCTCAAATATCATCTATATGTCAACAATTGCTTAATACCCCTAATATACTTCTCCAGCCCAGACCTCTTATCCTAGCTTTTGATTCATGTCCACTGCCTACATGACATCTTCCAGGGTTGGTGCAACATTTCAAAATCATTATCCAAGACCATGACTTTTCCCCTTTCTGCTCTGCCATTCTATGCATGTTCATTTTTCGATTTAGGGTCATTGCCTTATGGTTACAAGGTGGCTGTCAGAGCTCCATGCATCATGCTCTGACACAACTGTTAGAAAAGGGGGGAAGAATCTCTCCTCTTGTGTCTGTCACTTCTAGCCAGAAGTAAAATCTTTCTCAGGAGCCCCCATCACATTTCTCCAACATCATATTGGCCATATCTGTGTCGTATGGTGATTCTTAGCTGCAAGGGAGACTGCTTAGATAAGTTTCGGGAGATAGAAAGGAAGGAGGTTGGAATGGCTATAGAATACATAATCAACAGTGTTTGACACATTCTTTGGAGCACTTATCAAAATAGTAATTAAAGAATTAAATATGTACGTTTTGTTCATTTGTCTCCTCTGTGAAATTATAAACTCTTTGGCTACAGGGAATGTGTCTGTCTTATAAGCCCAGAATCAGCACAGTGCCTGGCCTACAGAGAATATCAGTTGTTGTTGGTTGAATGAATGAATGAATGAATATGAAAGAGAACAATAGAGGCAGAAAATAGGTACAAAGAGACAGAAAACTGCCAACACTAAACTTCTTAAGCTGATTGTCATATCTCATACCTCATGGTTCAGCTCTCCGTTCCAGTTAATTTGAAAATAGTCTTTCATCAAAAAAAGGCTACTTTTGAAAGTGCTCAATTCTTTGCACAATGAATGTAATTTTTCTAACCTCTTAATTCTTTCCATCTGAGTAGATATGAGCATTATTGTTTTTATTGAGATCCAGGAATGAAAACTTTAAAAAAAATAAAATGTTAACCCCTATAATAGAGTGAGATGATCCAGAAAATTTTAAATTGCCTCAAGTACGTAAATGTAAATCAATTCTTGGCTAAATCACTCAAATATCATTCAAGAAGAAAAATGTATAAAAGCTAGAGTTATTTAAAAGAACAGTCATAAAATTTTTGGTCTAAATTTTCCACTCCTGAGAGCATCCCACCAACAGATAAGGATGACATTCAGATTGGCTGATTAGGGAGAAAGCAGTTGTAAAATGCCTGGCACATAAAGAATGCTTGACATCTTTTTGTTCTTATATCTAGACCAAAGGAAAACCTGGGTTTACTCCTAACGCTGTTATGTCCTAAATGTGTCACTATGGGCAAGTTGAGTGTGTTTTTTGGTTCACAAATGATATAGTAATCTTAAACTACCTTGCAGTTATAACATGCTCTACAATTTAAAGACTTAAATGAAAAAAAAAAAATCAAATAGCATTGAATACAGTCAACAGCAGCCAACCTAATAAAATATTAAGGAAGAGATTCATATTCCCGAGAGTGTCTCTATCTACAGATGCAGAATCTCTTCATATTTCTGATGGATATTCTGCTTGGTCATCTCAAAATACAAAGGGCACTGACATACAAACATCACATTTTTTTTTAAAGAGAGTTGTAACTAACCACACATGCAAGACTAGGTTTGAAGTTTTAAATATGACTTTCATTGGAAATAAAATTCCTGAAAAAGAGAAAATGACTTTAGCATTGGCAAAAGGAGTCCCCTAAGAAAAAAATGTAAACAGATGGCTGAGAAAGATCACCCACATGCTGCAGATCCTGAGGAGGCATTTCTAAGAATGAGGTGGCACTTCCCAGCCTGGGCCACTTCCCACAAGGATCCTTATTTAACCCACAGAAAACACAGGGTTTATACCTCTAGCCAAGAGGAACCTCAGAAACTCTTTTCCCACTTGCTTCACAGTGATCCAGACTAATTTCCAACTCTCCCCAATGTTCCAAAAGAAATGAAGTACCAGCCACTGGACACCAGCAATCCTCCAATAAATCAGCATTCGATGATCAGCCCTGAACTAACATCTTTCCATATAAACGGGCTGTTAAGCCCTTGCTAAGCATATTAAGCATTGAATTTAATGTATGACACACATCTGTTCCACTTACTCAGCAGAAATTTAAAGATAACTTAAGTTCCAGACTTAATCAAGGAGAAAAAAATCTTAAAACTCAGTTTAAAACTGAGTTTTAAAATATAATCCAAATGAAGGCAAGAGAGACCATTTTGCTGTGACTAATGAGATTATGAAATACCTAAACCAAATCCACAAAACTACCTGGGCAGAAACACTAGATCGTTTATCTGTGCCCATTTATTTCTCCTTTTGATGCCATCGGCACTTACCAAAGACCTTCATCTATATCTGGCCCAAGGCACCAAAATATAAGCAAAAATACGTCCTCTGCCAACATGGTAATTTAACCCCCCTCGATGCTCGAAGGCCATAAGAGGAAAACTTACAGATTTGTCTTTTACAAGAAGAGCACAGCACTGAATTCCAGACATCAGCATCTTGTGGGGATTCCAGGCCACAGAGTCAGCTCTGTTATGTAAAACAAAGAACAGGACAGGGTCAGGAGGGGCTCAATTAGTTTCTACTGGTGGAGAGAATATTATCCTTAGCAGCACATACATTCAGTACTCATACTCAAGTTAGGGCTCTCCAGGATTCCTTGTTGGAGTGGTTTGGGGAGTCTGGAGTTTTGGGGGTTTTTTTAACCCCCAAATGTCACTTAAGTGGGCAAAGTCCAAAGAGATTCCCTTGCCTAACGAAATGGTGCTGTGCCTGGGAAACTGCATTTACCTGTGGATGCCGTGCAGGAGCTTGCGGTGCTTCCTTGACAGCAAAGCTGAGCCACCCCAGGAAGCCTGTTGAGATATTTAGATAACCAAGATAATGTTATTCCAATGTTATTTGTTTACCAGCTGGTTGTCATAGAAAACCTTGAGTGACAACCTCAATCTGTCTTAGTTTATACTTTAAGTCAGTGTTAACCAATTGGTACTCCAGGAAATTTTGATCACTGGCCCTATTCAGGCAATCAGAACCTCATCACAATAGATGGGCCCCCACTGGCCTTTAGGATTTAAATTCACACAAGATAAAGAAATTGGTGTATTAACTTGTTGAATTGCATACTGATGAAAGGAAGTTTAGAAGACACAGTCCACACCCTCTTGAATCTTAGAATCTAAAGTAGACAAGATCCTTACAATGCTGACATTCTACCATACACAATGTACAAATGCTGATAATGAGACAGGGGCTAAGAGCTAGCTTTCTGTATAATAAATGAGGCACATGCTTGACCAGGTGGATAGAGGAGAATACAGGAACTCATGGCCAACTGGGGTGGGCTAGGTAGAAATGAATTCTGTTAATGAATATTAGATCTTTTTAGCCAAATAGCTTTTAGAAATATTTAGAAATCAAAAATGTGAGAGTAGGAGAAAGGAAGACTTGGACTTAAGGAAGATATTCTTTGCAGATGTAAATATTACAAGCAAAAGAGAGGGGACCTGAGAATAAGGAGATGAAAGAAAGTCTCACAGTCAATAAATCTGGAGGGAAGGGAAGAAGAGTCAATGTGAGAAATAAGAAAGTCATTTGGTCCTCGAAATTGAGCAGACTTCTAAGTTTTAATTCGTAGGGCAAGGAGGGGGGGTGGCAGTGAGGGAATATAAGAAGATTAGCTTGGGCTATGTTGAATGCTCTCCAACGTTATTTAAGCTGTATAACATTGCAGTGAGAATGGAGTGATTATCATCTCAAAATTTTTAATAGAGAAACTAAGGTTCAGAGATGGTAGATAAATTATCCAAGGTCTCACAGGTAATAAAAATCAGATCTGGGAGCCAAAGCCCACTCTTTTTTCGTGATAACATCATAACTTAGGGAAGGTGGACATTTGGCCAAATGGTAGAGTATAGCATGGAGATCTGTGATGGAAGTCCTATAGGCAGGGGGTGAGTTCAGGAGCTGCCTAGGATGTAGACAAAGGCTATTCTATTTTTGGCTATAGAACTTAAAAAGATAAGGAAGACCCCTTATCTGCAGAATATCATGTAGAAAGAATTGGCAAGATTGTGTGCACCATGGATGTGGAAGATGAAGGAAATTAGAGGTCTCCATGATCCTCAGAGTATCACAAAAGCTGAACCCATTTGTAAACAATAAACAGTGGCCTTTAATCCTACTTAAAAACAACACTCTCATTCAGGGCTGGGACTAGGGTGAGATGAGTGAGTCACTGAGGATCACAATTAAGGAGGAGCTCACTCTCAAGGCTGGACTCTTGCACAACCCTAACAGTGAATGCCTCCTTAATTTGAGCCCTAGGAACCTCACTTGCCTCACCTCAGTTTCAGCCCTGCTTCCATGGACTATAGTCGCCGGTAACCCTAGGGGTTCCCAAAGGTTTGTGTGTTGAAGGTGGTGTGTATGCAAATCCCAAAGATTCCCTGAAGAAGGAGGGGTGACTTGGGGTTGTCAGTCAAGCCCCCTTCCTGCTGCACTCTCTCCCGCACTGGCATCCATGACAGACCGTGTGTGACCAAGACTGAGCTACAGAAGCAACCGCCTTCAGCCTCTAGAACTTCATCCTGACCTACTAATTAAGGACCCCAGATTTGGATTTTGATCTTCACAAGCTTTAAGATGACTTGCATATTAGCTTCTTTTATTTCCATTACACACCCTAAACTCTGAGTTGCCTGCTTTTCTCAATCCTTTTATCCCCCAACGTCATTGAGAACCTACCAGTGACAACTAGGGGAAGGATGAATTAGTAAGACTCAGCCACACCCATTTACTCTCTCGCCCTTTCCACCTGCCTCATACACTGCACTTGCTCTCCTTTGTGTCTCCTGCACTACCCTCTGCCTCCTCTTCCTCCCCCAAAATTGAACAATATTCTCCCAATCCTAATGAGCTGGATTAAAGTTTTAAAATCACATGAACTCTTTCAAGGCATTAGTTCACTGGTTTATAGAGTGCTTTGGCAGGGTCAGGAATAGCTCATCCACAAACTTATTCCTCAAAAAGAGCTGAAAGGAGAAAAACAACACTCCTGATGTCGATAACCTACTTCTATCGGCTTCACGTTCTAAATTCCTAACTCTAAAACTTGCAAAAACGTCAAACCAATTACCTAAATGATGAAGAAGTTTGGTTTTCCATCTCAATAAGGACCATCATTCCATCATTTATTGAGCTATTACTATATGTGAAACACGAAGGTTAATGTTTACTATCTCCCCTGGGACTTGGACTGAAGAGTGGGTGGGGGACTTTAGGAAGCTTTGCTGGGAGTGTGAGGCTCTGCAGCAGCCACAGCCCCTGCTTCAGAGAAGAGCTGGAGCAGCCCTGAAATCCTGGTCTAAGGCAGAGGCTGGAATAACATTCACTTTCACAGAGGAAGAATAATAGGAGGCAAAACATTTCAATAAAACTAAAGTGTTTCTTACTCGGTTGTTTAAAAACGCATTGTAATTAACCAAACTTAAGACACTACCAAATGTAAAAGTCTCCATTTTTGTGTACCACAAAGAAAAAACAATGACATCAACATACCAATTTCAGGTATGTTAAAAATGTAAACCAAAGAACTGTATTTTGGAATTAATGAAATACGGTATATATGCAGGGCAACTTGGTTTCATGGAAAACCTGGAAGAACAAGCAATCATAATTACATTTTTAAAAAGAAATAAAGTAAATACCAGTTTTTAATATTTTGAAGTATCTTTAAAATGTCCTTTAGAAAATTTCAAACAGGGCAAAGTAATTACTGTAATTTTATTAATTTTGAAAATTAATAAACTACCTATTGTATATGAAGTTTCTTTAAGATAAGCTACATGCTCCTGTATAAAATTTTCTCAACAGAATCGGTGTCTGCAATATTGAAGGATGGGTGAATACTGTCTCTATGTTACAGCTAATTTCTTTAATAGGTCAGATAAACTGTTGTCAAATTTAATCTGATACCACAGGCATTCACTAGATGCATACTATGTGCAGCAGAATAATTGATGTGTTTCCTTATAAAAGGATTTCCTTCAAAAATTCAACCTCTAATTTTTAGAAAATCTAGAGAGGCTTTTATTCAAACTTATAAATCTCAGTTATCTCTAAGCCCCATAAATCTCTTAATATCATTCCCAATTTAGAAACTGCTGTAGTTACTCTGTTTTACATAAACTATATAATCCATATTTAATGTTTCTTTTATGAGAGTGGATTTTTTAAGTATAACTGCTGATGTATTTGATTTTTTCCCTCTATTTTTCACAGTCACCAAAGTACTCACTTCATATTATCTTTTAGGACATAATGTATTACTATGCTTCTAAGTCTATAAAAATCAATAAGATATTAGTTGAAATGTGAACAGATACAAATATTACAATCCCATTTAAAGAAGTCACACATAATCTACCTGAAGTATTGCCATCGGCATGCAATGGAGCCTATAACTCTAGTGAGCTTTATATTACTGCTGCTTTTACCAAATATTAGCATATATTTGATGAAAGCCTTGAGCTGCTGAAAAATTCTCTCCATATTATATCAAAATGCTTTACTTTGAAAGCATAAAATGGTCCAAACTATAAAACCATATGTAGCTATGTCCCCAAATGCTTAGTTACCTTCCATTCAGTAAGTCAAAAATACTGTCCTTTCTTTTTCTGATAAGGAGGATATGAATCACTCACTTTCCAGAAGAAAGTTCCCTAAAGTCTCATCAGTGTGCTCAACAGTCCCTTCTATTGGGTTGAATCAAACTAATTAACTCCTGGTTTCACACACACACAAAAAAAGAAAACCAAAAAGCTCAACAAACATTCATAACTGGCTGAATCCAACTCATTAATTCTGGATAAGTAGAATTTTAAGAGTTACCTTTGATTAAGGAAAAATTTATTATGAGCAAGCCCAGGGCTTACAAAATTAATTAGCAAAAAAGCCAATCTTTTAAGTTGGAAAATTATGAAGAATAGGTTATCCCAATCCCTCTCAAATAATTATCTGTGGGAGATTCAGACAAAACCTGCTTGAATCATAGCAACTATGTATGCAGCTTTTTGGATCTTCCGGCTGATTGGAATCATACAATTTAGAGCTAGAAGATACTTTACAAACCACATCAGCCATTTCCCTCTTTACAAATGAAGAAACTGAAGCCCAGAGGGCTGAGGTCACAGTGAAGAAAAGGCCAATTAGAATCCAAAATCCAAGTCTCTTGACTCCATAGTCCGAAATGTGTCCTTTATACCATGTCACCTCAATGACAGTAGATTCAAGAGACCAAAGAAAATGGTTCATGGGAGAAGAGGAAATAAAATGGAATCTGGAAAACTAAAAATTTGCATCAAGTCTTGGGATCTTCTTCTTTATTATCTTACAGAAAACAACATATTTATTTCCAGTAATTAAAGATACACACTTAAATAAAAGTAGTTGGGGACTTTACATCTAGTTTCTGAGAATATGAGAAACTTCCCACCAAAGCTGCAAAAAGACTAGAAAGTTAAACAGATGTGTACACACAAATGGACTTACATCCACATGAAGCCAGAGGCCGTGCTGCTCACAGATGTCAGCGATTTCATCCAGGGGATCAAAGGCTCCTAGCACAGTCGTACCAGAGGTGGCACAGACAAGAAATGGTGCTGCTCCCTGTGAAAAGGACCCCCACACAAGAATTGTTACCATCACCACTAAATTTGTCCTGTAGTAGGTTGGTAAATACAAAAGTTAAACATCCAGAAATCTATTTGGTTTCTTTGAAGATGATCATTAATTCAGTAAGTGTTTTTAAACTTCTCCACTATATGGCCTCTTGTCACTATAAATAGGTTAAGGAACCTGAGAAGATGCTATGACCCTAGTAGTTCTTTGTCCCAACTCAATATGCATCGTATTTTCACTCATTTTCTTTCTGTAGTATTTTCTGTTCTATAGATTTCCCAGATTGAAAGTGAATAACCTCAACTGCAACGGCAAATTGGTATACTGTGTGATTCCTAGCTCCTTCTTGGGGAGATTCACTGGGGCCTCCATGGTGCTAGCATTGTTACTCTTCTCCAAAATAAAAAGAAACATGATTGGAAGACAGTCAGCTCCAGAGACAAACCATGCAGCCTGTCTGCTTGTCTCCTTGTAAAGTAAGTGCAGTTACAAAACAAAGAATGTACTCAGGTACAAATTTGGCATCCAAGGGGATATAGTCTCCAAAATAGGTGCCGCAACAGAGAAATCTGTTAGAATGTGCTAGAAAAGAGAACCTGTATCACTTCTACCGTGATTATTCCTCCTTGTACAGCTGATGGCTGCATCTTGTAGGGCGAACAGGTGCCAGTGGGAAATGGGGAGAAAAGAAAGAATGTGGGAGCACATGCAGAGATGAAATGGTAATTCCAGCCAAGCTATCCAGGCACCTTGGCCCCATAAGGGACTTTATGGCAATCAGGTAAAGGAAGAGGACATGAGGTTGTTTCCAAATGGATCCACCCCAGCATGTCAGCAAAATTGTGTTGCTTGCTGTGGAAGTGCCTTGGAGGGAAAATTTGCAGACAAAGGTGGGAGTGGGAGAAGCAACAAGAATCCTAAGATTCTAGAGCACCTGAGGAATAAGTGACAAGAACATTTAGTGCCCATAAAAGTTATTTTACCTCCATTTAGGATGGAATCATTTTTTCCCTCAGTTTTATCTTGAAGGGCAGTTGTTCTTGCAATATATTTTTATGTGCCATTTAATGTTAGGAGTTGTTCTATTTGGACCAGACTCATTCCAATTTAGCTGACCTTTGACAGAAGGAAGTTACTTCTCAATGGGAAGTGGGGCAGAGCAAGGACACTTGGTCCACGTCTCTAAATTGAGTTGCATAGGAATCCAAGTAATGGTACACAATAAATCCATTTGCCATTTGGAGAGACAGTTGTGACACATGGAATCTAGTCCACCCACACCTCTTAGGGCAGGGCCAGTAGGTGACAGAGCCCCTGGGGGACCCTGGGCTTTGGGACTTCTTCCCTGTACTCAACTACCAACAGGTTATGTCTTTATCATGTCAGTGACCTCATGAAATAAGAGCAGATTTACATCAATCATTAAAAGCAATAGAAAAAGTAATTTACTAAAACCATTTAAGGTGTCTTGAATGGTTGGGCTTTTCCTCATAAACTATATGGCATCCTGACAGTTGTGAGAAAATGCCTATGCAAGCTATTATAGCCTATTAATGAGTTTTCTTCACCTTTTTAAAACAATTTAGCTATAAATATCAGGGCCAGAAATTCAACTTTTGCAATCTGGATTTAACCTTCCAGGATTTTTTTTCCTTTCATATCTCATGCTATTAATGAGAAAATTCAGTGGAAACAGTATTGATTGCGTGCTGCCGATGAGCTGTATTCCCTAAGAAAGTTTGTCATTTCAAACACTCATATACAAAAACACTTCCAAATATTCAGTGGTTATAGTAGTTTTATCTTTTCATAGCACTTAGAACCCTCTGACGTCTCTGTGGTTTTCACCACCTTTGCAATGGCATCAAGTAAAGGTCACTGCTCAACATATTTTTAATGGATTGTGGTTGGCCAGGGAATTGAATCCCAGGGGAAAATAAGTTGATGTACTGTTCCCTACATCTGAAACAATATGAGTTAAAAGCTTGAAACAAAACAACTAGGTCTGAAGCTACTGAGAAAAATAAACTAGTCATCAGGTATTATTATCTCAGAATGGATGCAAAGTTTGTCCTTGGTGAATGCAGTCTCCAGTTTTAACTAACTTGAAAGAAAACCAACTCTAACCCCACTGCCCTACTTTTAAATGTGCCTAAAGCAATTTTCACTTTTTAAAAACTTCTCTTTTCAAGTTCTCAACTTTAGAATATGTCAGTTGCATGGACTTTCACTGTCAAAACAAACAAAAATTTAAACAATTAAAATAAAAATGACTATCCTGGAATAAAACCCATCCGACATGCTAGAACAAGAGTTCTTAATGATACTAAGAAAAGAAAAAAAGTTTTTGCTGTCTTTAGGGGATGCTAGGCAACTAATTCACTATTTTGAAAATGAGTAAATAATGGGAAAGGAGAAAACATTTATCCTGCTGTGCCTGTACAAACTCTTTCCTTAGGGAAACCAAATAGGGATGAAGGAACATTTTTCTTTATAGCAGTATGCCTCCAATAAATGAAGGAGGACTGAGAGAATGAATTAGAACATCATCTAATAAAATAATGGATCTAGACAATGGTCACCAATGGCAGCAAAACCCATGAGGTGAGAGGTGATGCAGAGCCCTATAAAAGATGGACTGACAATATCAGAACCCACCAATCAATGTTATCACAAAAAGAGACACAAGATGCCTCCTGATGGAAGGACAAAATACCATCCAGGAAGTCTTCCTGGTAAAAAATACCATCTGAATCTCACCAAGTCTCAGGATCTAAGTGCCAGATTATAGGAAATCTAGAGAACAGATAGGGTGGTGCAGAAGAGGGGAGTGCTTAGATTCTCAAATTCTTGATGTAATCTACAAAATCCATAATGTGGAAAACTCTACAGGACAAAGGACCTGGTTTCTTCAACAAATCAATTGCATGGGGGGAAAAAGAGGAGGACGGGAAAGCCATAGATTAGAAAAGATTTGCGTGATGAATCAACCAAATGCAATGTACGGACCTTGTATGAGGCCTCATTTAAACAAGCCAACTATTAAAAAAAACAAAAAAGGCAATGGGAGAAATTTTAATATAAATGAATATTTGATGATATTAATAAATTATTTCTTATAATAGTATTATTTGTTTTAAAAAAGAGAGAGTGCATATCTTTTACAGATATACTGAACTATTTATAGATGAAATGATATGATATGTGGGATTTGCTTCAAACTAATGTAGAGGTGGTAGGAGGGGACGGGGTGTAAATTAAGCAGAAAGGAGCATAAGCTAATGATTGTTGAAGACGCATGATGGGTATATGTAGGCTCATTATATTAGTTGTGTATATATTTGAGATTTTCCATAATGAAAAGTTTAAAACTCAGAAAAGAAAGAAAGAAAGGGAGGGAGGGAGGAATGGAGGGAGGGAAGAAGGAAAGGAAGGAAGGAAGGAAGGGAGGAAGGGAGGGAGGGAGGAAGGGAGGAAGGAAGGAAGGAAGGAAGGCAGGCATGCACCCGGGCATGCACCGACGCACTGCTTGTCAAGCCATGCTGTGGTGGTGTCCCATATAAAGTAGAGGAAGATGGGCATGGATGTTAGCCCAGGGCCGATCTTCCTCAGCAAAAAGAGGAGGATTGGCATCGGATGTTAGCACAGGGCTGATCTTCCTCACACACACACACAAAAAGCACAATAGATATTCCCTAACAACAAGCATTAATGACATAAAGTTCTTTTTGATAGGAACTTCCATAGAAAAAGATAAAACTAGATCAAAAAAAGATAAAACTAGAATGCAGTATTTGTGGTTCACAGCAGAACGAATAGGTTGTAATGTAGAATTTTATTCAAGAGTCAAAGACATCTCATAATCTGTACCAACAGACAACTATCAAATCCACTTGTCATTGGAATGTAAAAAAAAAAAAAAAAGATAAATGTAGATCTAAGGACACACACCTGAAGCCAATACATCTGCAATAAAGGCAGAATTTTTACGTACAGACTTTCATACCAAATACCTTGATCTAGCATGCTCTGGATAAGGTGATTTTTATGAAAACTTTAAACATATAAAGAGTGAAATAACAGAAATATAAAATTAAACTTAAAAAATAAAAATAAAAGAACCCGTCTTTCTTAGAGTGTGAAATCCCACGAAGAGAGAGATACTTACATCCCAGCTCGGAAGCTGGGCTTTTCATTGTTCATCAGTCACACCTGACTTTGTTGCTACCAATTGGAAAGTTCTGGGAGAGTGAACAGAAGCTCTTTTAGCAGTGAGGACTGTGGTGGGATGGGAGGGAAGTAGTGATGTGGGTGTACCTAATCCAGCAGGCTTTTGGTCCAAAAAGCAAGATGGCTGGCACCAAAACAACAACACACCTAAACAGCAGGTGACCAGGGCCATGCTTTGCCTTCCCCAGCAACTGACATGTCAACTTGAACACAGTCTGGCAGCTAAGGAAGAGAGGACATTCTGCCAGTGCTGAACTGCTAGATCCAGACCCAATATGGGGTGACAGGTATGGATTGGCTTTGGGTGGAAGCAACCTGGGAGGATAGGTTGATCAAGAAATCAGGAATCATTCTGAATGCCATCCAGAGACAATTGGCTTGGCCTGCGGAATTCTCAGTCAGGAGTTATTTAGGAGCGTGGATGCTGGGGCCCTGCTGGAGAGGCTGGGCTCATCTTTTAAGGCTAATTCTAGGCAAGAATCCTGAATATGGTGATATCAGTGTTTTAATAGGCTCCAGCCACCTGGGAATGAGAACATCCAGGAAACTCCACAGAACATGGAGAGCCAAGGACCTGGAAATAGAACATCTGTAAATGAGTTTCCCTCTTTTAATTCCAACAAGCTCTCTTCTCTCTCCCACACACAGAAATGGGTCTGGCTGCTTGCTTCCCTCCCTGGCATTCTCTCCCTCATACCCAGACACACGCATGCATTTTCTCTCCCCCATTTTCCATCTCTTCTCTCACCTCTTTTCTGGCTTGCCAGATTTGCTTCTCCAGTTCTTCAGGTATCATTTTACCTCTAAGAGACACAGATTTGAGATGCTCAGTTATGTTTAGCAGTGAACAGACACTGGTGCTGCTTTTTAAAAAGTATGAATTTCCCCCTCCACCCACCAGGCTTCCGGATCCTGTCCCCATTACCTTCCATCTGTTTCCACAAAGCAAACATTGTCAGTACCAATCCCAAGAAAGGAGGCTGCCTTCTTCATGGAGTAATGACACTAAATTAAAAGGAACATGGGGGAAGAGAGAGACATGAATACATAGTGTGAAAAAAGTTTTGCTTATTATCTAAATGGGTGTAAGTCACATGGTTGAGCCCAATCTTTGGAACATACTGCATAAAAGAAAAATGAAACAGTAATTTAATTGAGCCCCTCAGTATAGTGGTTGAGAACATTGACTTTGGGATCAGAGGAACCAGGATTTAATTCCAGATTTTCCCAGTTACAGCAATGGAACCTTGAGCAAATAATGTACACTCGCCAAGCCTCAATTTGCTAATCTATCATATGGGTGTGTCAATGCCTACTCCACCCGCTTGTCATACAATTAAATGGGTTAATATACGTAAAGGGCTTAGCACAGAGCCTGGCATACGGAATAAACTTGGTCACTGGAGGCTGTTGCTTTCCATAACATTGAGAAAAGTTTCTCTTGATGCTACTACTAAGACTCGGTATTAATGGAAACAGAATGTAGTCCGCTGCTGACTCAAAACCCTCTAAGGAGCGAGCAAGACTCTGTCTCAAAAATTGCAATCACAGACCACAGCAGAATTTAATTATTTTCAAGAGCAAACAATGGTTATAAATGCTGATCAGACACTTGACCAATCTTGTTTAATATTGAATGTAAGATGGAAATTAGACACAAAGGAATGTAGCTAAAATCAAAATAAAAAAAGTAATAATCATTTATAGACACACTACTTTATGTCACCCTGGCATTAATGAGGCTATAGATGGATCTAGAATCAGGTCTGGTCTGTTTCTTATTGGCAAATAGTAGTATATGCTTTAGATTGTTGGGTCTATTTTTCCTTATTCCATAAAGCCTATAAAATAATTAGCATTCAAACATTGGAGATGTCGCTTTTTATAAATTAGTACAGACAGGTGGTCAATTAATTCTTTGTCATGCCTGAAAAATGAAGGTGCTAAAGGACTTTATTGTACCAAAAAACCTTAGTGATTTAATTTGTAGGTATGAATACATTAAAAAAGTAGTCATGCCTTCACACTTAGGTTGATATATTTCCTCAAATGTGGTCATTTTTTTCTTTTTGTCGAGCGAGTTTTATGGAGAGCTCTTTTTTTAACTCTGTCAAAATAAATGCAAAAGTCACACCGTCAGGAAAAATGAAACCATTCAAATAATTAATTTCCAAATATCAAATAGGACGCGTCCAAAATGCCTATAGGATGCATTCATTTCAGGTTGTTACAAGAACATATGCATATGGAGAAGTAATAATGTACCTGAAAATGTAATTAATTCTCTACTTGCTACATCAGCCCACCACAGCTAAGGTGAATTATTTCTCACCAGAGATTTGGGTTCTGGTCACCAAACAGCTATTGATTGCATAATGATAAGTAGTAGCCTACTCCAACTGACATCTGCCAATAAAGAAAAGCACATCGCTTTGCCCTGAGGAATAGCAAAATATTCCCAACCAATGAATCTGCTGAATAAAAAAGTGGTAATCAGAATAAGAATAACTTCAACGGAGCCAACTGTGGGTACCCCAGGGCCAAGTCTAGTCCAATGTCAATCTCAAATGGATAGGGACAGGTAAAAAAAAGTCAGCAAAACTGAAGTCTAAACATCTGAAGGCATCAGAGGAGGAAAAGAGCTCTAGAAGGGAAAAAAGGAGACGGCAATGCTTCAGACATGCTGAGTAGTTGTAAGGAAAGGAAAAACCTAGAAGGCTGGAGTTCAGAGGTAACAGTTGCATTTAGAAACGAACGGTGGCTGCTCCCCTTGCTGGCAAAAGATAAGTCAATCGTTCGAAGACCCAATCTCCCTCTAGGTTTCATGCATCTAGTGAAGATGCAAAAATCTCAGTGGTGTTTGTTTCTGTGAGGATAAAACAGCAAGTGCCCACGTGAAAGACAGAATTGCGCTGAAGTTCGCCTTTCTGGTTCCAGCCAGGATTTTTTCTGTGACCTTGGGTTTCTCAATGAACTGCTGCTTTCCCCTCCTGTAGATGGTGTTCTGGACACTTGTATTGTGTTGTGGACTCCTTCGAGTGCTGACTAGTTAGACACTCAAATTAGTTCTGGGTGGTGGGGAGAGCAGGGTTTGTGAATGTTCCATGTTAGGGGATGAAGAAAAGGAATGTACAGGGGACTTCTCCAAGAGCACGCAGATGATTGAGTTCCTAAAGAAGCAGAGCTAGGATCCACGTGGACTGTCAATGCTCGGCGTGACATCCCAGGAAGCACCTGCTTCCCTGTGGAGCACGCCTGCAATCACACCCAAACCCAGGTCAGTGTCACCTAGGGAGCAGGGCCACGAATAGCGAGAGTGAGCCACGAATGAGGCATCTCGAGTGCAAAATGTAGGGAGGCACGACCCTGAGGCGTGTACCCTGGGCGTCTCACTCACCTCACCCTAGCCTCGATCCTGCTAGAGAGCAGCTAGGCCCATTGATCACTGACCTGGGAGGTAAGAGTTTCTTTTCTCCTCTCACTTTTTAGTGGCAGACAATCATCTACTTTATGCTGATTCCCACAATGACTGGAATTACAAACCTAGGATTTCTATAAATTCAAGAAATTCATATCTAACTGCTAATCAAGCCACAAATTTACTACTGTTACTTTTCTCTCCAAATCTCCTTCACTTTGGTTCCTATTTAGCACTGGAGAGGCTACCTTGGATATGTTGACGGTTTAAGGGGCTTTGTCATGATCTTCCAGGTCTCCATCAACAGTTAAATTACAACTGAATCCTGAAGGATGCAAAAATACCTTCAGAGGTGGGTGCATATATTCTGCATTTGATGGTGGAAGGCAGAGATAGAGTAATTACCCTTGTCAATCCGGGGCAGCATATAAACTAGTAAAGTAAAATCACCTAATAAACAATACAGGAAAATAACCACAGGGCTACGGGCCAACTCCTAAAAGAAAACAAGGGAGGTAGAGCAAAAAGATTCACAGAGGGTTTAAGACTATTTAGGAAACATAGCCTTCTTTAATTCTTTTTTTTTTAACTAAATAATGAATTGATTTGTTGCAATAAGTGGTGAAGGTGATCACTAAAATATGAATTAAAATAATGCAAATGCTACAACCTGAGTCTCTTTGGCAGAGCAGGGAAAGGAATGAGCTACAAAGTGGAGTCTGGACGGACAGGGTGAAAATATATATTCAAGGCTATAGTGTTTTCAAAGTTATGGACTTTTCCTGTGGAATTCATGTTATAATGGGCTGAATGTTTGTATCCCCTCAAAATTCACGTGTTTACTCCCTAGCCCCCAAAGTGATGGCATTAGTTCTAGATTAGGTCACGAGGGTGAGACTCTCATGGGATTAGTGCCCTTATAAAAAACAGAAGACAGAGAGATCTCACTCTGTCCATAAGCAAGAACAGAGGAAAGGCCATGGGAGCACACAGTGGTCTACAAGGAAGCAGGCTTTCAATGCACTGAATCTACCACCACCTTCATCTTGGACTTCCCAGCCTCCAGAACTATGAGAAATAAATGCCTGTTGCATAAACCATCCAGTCTATGATATTTTGTTATAGCAGCCCCAGCAAACTAAGTCACACATCTAGTTCTTGGTTTTCTAGCTCCATCTTCTGCTGGCATGTTAGCCAAGGCATATATTTTATCTCTTTTTGCATATATATCTTCACCAGAGATTTTTTAAAAAAATACTTAGTTCTGGTTTCACAACTGCATGAGGTTTCCATTTCTTTTCACCCCCGATTTGCCAGCTATACCTGTGTTACTGATCTTTCCCAGCCATAATCTTTATTCTAGGCTTCCATCGAATTTCTTCCCCATTTCCAGGGCAGTTATTCCAGAAAAAAAACTCTAGTGAGTTTTAAACCAAATGAAGAACGAAAAAGCCAAAAGTAAAACACTGAGCTGATAGCAGGGGCCCTATTTAATCAGCTTTCCCAGACATAGAAACAGCAATTCAAATGTAGAAGGGACTTTAAATTTCTGATACGCTAGTGTTCTTCAAACTGAAATACCAACGATTGGAACCCAGAGAGGGAAACTCTACTCCATTATAATCCCAAATAACTAAGTATTTTTCCCAGATGTCCACATTTCCAAACATTTTTCTCTTGCTGCAGAAAGAATGTCTTATGAAGAAGGGCCTCAGTGGCTGAGTTAAGAATCTCAGACTAGATGATTCCTCCCAGGGGCCTCCCAACAACTCAACACCCACTTTGCACTTAGCGCTGAACTAACCAGAGCAAAGGTCAGACAGGGCAGGAGGAAAACGTGGGGGTGGCTAGGTTTTCTTCAACTGCCCACCTCTTAGTGCACAATTTATCCTTTTGCAATAATAAAGTAACTTTTGCTCTTGAAAGAAAATAACAGATACAGGAAATCTCAGCTAGAAATAACAGCGATTTTCAGATTTTGCCTGCCTCATGGGTTTGACAGATCTAGATTATCACAGAAGGTACAGATGCTAAACTTTTCCTGCCAGGGATGTGGGGAAGAGGCAGTTGTGGAACGGACAGAGTCACCCACTGCAATCACACAAAAGCAGAAAAGGAAAAGAAGAATCTCTTCCAGATAAGACTACACTTAAACCATGCCATCTATTATACCGACATTATTATAGTTGAATCATTCTCCTCCTACTAATAATAATAGCCAACATTTTTGTCTATCAATTATGTGTCAGATGCTACTTTACATGCATTAACTCACTCAATCTTTGCAACAACCCACTAATCGGTGGCTACTACGCTCATGTGGATGCTGGGTTGCTTTAATGGCCCCAAATTGTTGACTTCTCTCTGTATCCATGCCCTTTGCCAAGTGACTTTGCAGAGAGTCTCCTTAAGAGGTGGAGTCCCACTTCTTAGATTTGGGTTGCTAGGCATGAGTTACTTTACCAAGAAAATGTGGTAGAAATGACAATGTGCCAGTTCTGAGCCTAGGAGTCAAGAGGCCTGGTGTGTTTCCATGATGTTTTTCACCTGCACCATTGCCATGACAACACACCTGGACTAGCCTGCTGGAGGATGAGAGACACATGGAGCAGAGAGGACTCACTGGAGTCATCCTAGCTGAGCTACTCCTAGATCAGCCATCAGCCAGCTAACCCCCAGACATGTAAGGGAGCCCAGCCAAGACTATCCCAAGACTTGTAAGCAGTCATATACAGCTATAGCTCTATGCCACTGGGTTTTGGGATAATTTGTTAGGTACAAGAGCTAAATGATACACTCATTTTTACAAATTAGGAAACTGAGGCACAGAGGAGTTAATCGACTTACCCAAGGTCACTCAAATAGTAAGTAGTGAAGACAGGAATTGAATCCAGGCAGCCTGGCTCAAAGCCAATGCACATATCTACAATTGGATCTCCTACTTTAGTGGAGAGTAAAATGAGATCGGGGATTTTGGCAACATCCAATCGTGTGTGTGTGTGTGTGTGTGTGTGTGTGTGTGTGTGTATGTGTGTGTGATGTTCATTGTTACTGAATCGCTCCTTTTCCTCTTGAAATGCCCTTGTGTTAGCCATTGAAAGCAATCAATTTTACAAAGAAATGTGAGTAGAAGACATAGCTGAGATCAGTAGTGATTATCTAAGTTCCGATAAATACGACACTCAAGGATTTCACAGGAGATAGCACCTTCAAATTAAACGTTCTCTTTTCTCAAAGAAAATGTTACAGAGTATAAATTTTAAATAAAGGTGATGTACAAAATTGGGTGGCCAGGGGTTACAATATCAAACCCAAACCCATCAGAATTTCTCTTGGAATGAAATACAACATTATACTTAGGCATATTAGTCACACACAGATAAGATAAAAGCACATTACGAGTCCCCAAACAAATAAGCCCTCTTAAATACTAACACATTCTTGGAAATCTATATCTGATATCAAAAATAGTTTTTTACCTCTGCAGATGTGAAAAGGATTAATCTTGGCAACCCAGACAGCCCCTTTTCCTTAATATCAGGGCAATATTTGTATCTAGCTAAATTCATTGCATACATATTGGACACTGAACCACCTGCAAAAACAAAATTGAAATGGTATATTGATAGCATGAAGTTATAGCTTCCTAAGTGCTGACTACGGTGGAAAGCATGAGTGGCTGTGGCTGCTCTAGTCTAATGACAAATCGCTGTGAAAGTCATCTAACACCACACCCTCCACCCCATTACTTGTACACACTTCCTAATCTCTAATTCCAACAATGTCCAATCTCAGCAAAGAGAGAAGTTTTGGTCTATGCTCTCATTCCAGAGTTTTTCCAAACCAAAAATTTCAATCTCTGGACCCAGTTTTCCATAGTTAATAACATTCTTTCGGTCTGTCCTCTGATCAATAAAATGACCATACGTGCTCATCTTTGGTTCCAAAAAATGACTGTAAGATAAAATGTGATTCAGGAACCTTCTCAAGTAAAATTGATTGAAAAACTTATTATAGCTCTTCCAAACTCCCAGCAGCAGGGAAATTCATTTGTGTTCAATATAAATCCTAAATCGTAGACATCTCATTTGTTTAGCATTTATGTCATTTATTTAGCCTTTAAGCAAAATATTATCACTCTGGAGAAAGGCACAAGCTAGATTCTCACCCCGTAGCATTAACAATATCCAACTCTTTGTAAGGTGTAAATCTGCAAGGAGTTATTCCTTATATAAGACATGAATAAATTTTTAGATGCTTGTAATGGAAGGGAGATGGCAATAACTAATTGTACTTACCTGGGTTAAATATTCCATCCCCTTCTTTCCAGCCAATAAATTCAATCATTTTCTTCAGAACCGCTTCTTCCACTAACAGAAACACTGGGGACACCTCATACGTATAACTAGATAGATATAAAAAACACTTCACTTCTATGACTAGAGTCAAACCATCCCTTTGGTGTCCCAAGAAATGCACATAGAGTTTTATTACACCAAGTGGCTGTTGAAGTGTCTGTAGAGTCTTTGGAAGTTTATCCATTGGAAATAGAGAAATACGCAGTCAATAATAGTGCTAGTCATGGTTAGATAAATGCCAATAGCTCGTGGCTGTAGGGATATGCAAGCTACTTCAGCTGTCCTAATTTACAGGAAACTTTCCATTCCATTGGGAGAGATAAAGGCAGTGCATTTGGATTCTTTGTATTTGCCATGAACAGTGGCCATTTAACTCTTTGGGTGCTGCTTTGGATCCTGGTTAAAGAAAAACCATTGTCATGGTAATCCAGTGTTATTAGGTTACCACCATGAGTATCCTCACAGTCAGCTCTAGCTATTCTACATGGAAACTACCCGTCTGAATTAGGGCTTCCTCCATCACACAGCGTTTGTACAAATGGGAAGCGCTCTGTGGACATCTCTTATTGTGTGATGATTTTACTGCAAAGCACTACCCAGACCCCCTGCCAATGAAGACTTTGTTGCTCCTGACGGGAACGCTATTGTCAGAGAGCATTGCTAAGTTAGCCCCTTTAGGAATTGCCTCAGCCGCAGGGAGCCACCCTCCTCAAGGTCACACGGTTTCCTGTTGTGGTCCACACATGATAACTGGTCCAGCTGGAGGTATAAAGGCCGTGTTTATAAAGGCCGTGTGGGCCCAACTCCAGACCACTCTGAAGGGCTTTTGTAGCTCCAGAGGTCTCTATGGGGTCAGCCAATATTGTCATTGAGCCTGCATGGCAGCTTGACTCCTCTCTCTGCCCACTCCTGCTTCCATCCCCTCCCATCACCAGTGTTGATGCCAAGGATATTCCTTAATAAACATCCTGCTCACTAAACTCCACCTAGAGCAGCTGCCCAGGGAACCCAACCTGCGACAGTTATCATGCCTTGTTTTATAATGTTTGAGTCTCTTCTCTCTCCAGATCACTTGAGGATGACTAAACATCTATAATCTCGAACAATTAGGTGATTACATTAAATTGTATCTGAATAAATGTGTACTCTAAATATATAAGCTAAGCAGACACATTTAGATCTATAGGCACTGAATTTAGCGCAATTATTTTAACATCCAAAAGGGAAAACTTTGAGAAGGAGGCAAAAAATAAATGAATATCTATCATGTATCAGCTTTCTATGTGCCAAGCTCACTACAGACATGTCATTTGACAAACAAGATATGTTCTGTTTCCACCGTGGTATGAAACCAGTTTACACACACCAAAAGTTTGAAAAAAGTGTATACATTTATGTGGACCTACAAATATAAGTGAAATAATCATTCACTTTTTTGTAAGAAAAAAATTAATATTAACCTGTCTTTGAAAACTAGCTCGACAGTAAACCTGGGTAATGGGCCTGGAGGTAGAGGAGAGGTCACCATAGAATGCTCTCACGGCTTGGTCAGTTTTTGAGTGGATTGTTCAGCTTAGCAGCAATTTAACACTTCAAAAATGTCTAAATATATCAGATAAAAGAACCCCGCCCTGAGGAGGAGTTAGAAAAGTCAGGACATATAAGAAAAGGTTCACAGAATTATGTAATTTTACTGTTTGATCTGATTTATCTACCACTTAACTCTTCTACCCATTGTAACCTGATATCATCTCCCATTACTCTGCCAAAAATTCTCTAACTAAAGTCACCCATGACATCCATGTTGCTAACCCAGGGGACATTTTTTGGTCTTTGTCTTAGTTAAATACTCAGCAACATGTGCCACTAGGTAAACTCTCCTCCGTGGCTTCCATGCCTTCCTGTTTCATTTTCTCCTTCTTCTCTGTCTCCATTGGAGGCTGATCCTGCTCCTCCTAGCCATTAAATATTAGATGACCTCAAGGCCCAGTCCCCAGCCCTCTTCTCTCCTCACTCTATACTAGGTCCCAAAGGCACTGGTTCTCCATCTCCTGGTTTGTTTTTATTCAAAGTGTCTCCATCCTGCTCATTAAAATCACTTGCTGAGCTTTCAAAATATACCAGTGCCTGGGACACACCCATAGAAATTCAGATTTAATTGGTCTGGAGTGGGACACAGGCCTCAATATCTTTTTACAAAAATTTCCAGTTTGATTCTAATGAGCAGTATTGAGAATCACTGACTTAAGGAATCTCATTTATACCTACTATTTCAGTTACAATCAATTCACCAATAACTCCTAAATGTATACCCTTCCTAGAGATATCAGAATTCCAGGCCCGTATATCTCTCAGCTTGGTTGATATATACTCTCGGATATCTCGAAGTTGCTGCAAGCTCAAATGCTCACAGTTGAAAATTGACTTCTTGCTCTTGCCTTTCCATCGTATACTTGAAAAGCAGTCCCCTCTTCCAACGCTTCTCATCTCAATGAATAACGTGACCACCAACCAGCTATGAAAGCCAGAGACCCAGCATCATCTCATAAACCTCCCCCTCGTCTCACTTCCAAGATCCAATATATTATCCAGTCCTTCCTGTTTTATCTTCTAAACACATTTTTTTTCTCTCTATTTCTACCACTTTTGTCTAAGTCCAAGCTACTATCATCTCTCACCTGGCTAAGATAATGCCCTCCTAACTGGTCACCTCCAATCCACTCTCCATATTTCCAGTGATCTTTTCAATAAGCAAATGGCACCTAATGATTTAGAGACCTTCAATGGCTTTCCATTGTACTTAGAATAACTCATAAATATGGCCCACTGGGTCCTACATGCCTGCCTCCTATCTATCTCTCCAGTTTTATCCTCCACTACACTCCCCATAGCTTTCTCAGCTACACCCACACTGACCTTTCACTTCTTAGCATATGTCCTGCTGTCTCCTGCCAAAGGGCCTTTGTACATGCTGTTCCCTCTGTTTGGAACTCATCCCTCCTCTTTTCACCTAGTTAACTTTTACTCATCTTTCAGTTCTTAGCTATCACTTCCTCAGAGAAGACTTCCCTGAGCTCCCAACTAGGAAAAGATATCACATTTACATTTATAGCATCATGCACCTCTTCTTCACATGAGAATTTGAATTTTACATTAATTTTTGTGGATCATTTCAATCAGCATCTCTATCTCACTAGATTTTTTTGCTCCATGAAGGCAAAGTCAAGGTTTGTTTTTATTCAAAGTTTCTCTCTGGCACTTAGCACAGACATGGCTTTTCATGCAGGAATGAATGAAAAGTTGCTCAATCAATTTTCTCATCTGTTGAGAGGATATAACAATGCCTGCCTTACCCATCTCACAGTACCACTATCAAATCAAACAGCTCTTTAATACTGCTAAGTGTCATAAGACTACTCCATTATTTATGACGACACTGTGCAAATGAAACCATTAAATAGAAATTCATGATGTAAAATTTTATCTACTTAAAAACATCTCTAATCCATGTTGGGTGTAAAATTCTAGTAAAATGGTACTTACACACTTGGGTTTAATGCTTCTATCATAAATCGGGCCACCAAGGAGTAATAATCAAGTCCAGCGTACAACTGGTTGAAAAATCTTGGGTGGTCTGTAAATTTAAACAGAATATTCATCTATGCAGCAATAAAAAAGAAAAGAAACTATTGATACAGCAATACCACAAATGAATCTTTCAGACAATGAAGCAACTCGACACAAAAGAATATATACTGTGTGATTCCACTTACATGACATTCAATATTAGGCAAAGCTGATCTATGGAGATAGAGGTTAGAATTCTGCATGCCTTCAGGAAGGAGATATTGATTGGGAAGGGGCTTGAGGGATCCTCTGGAGAGGTGGGAAAGGTCTGTTTTTCAATCTGGGTGACAGTTACTTACATACAGGTATGTATAAATTCATCGAGCTGAGCACTTAAGATTTGTCCACTTGGACTGAATGTAAATTAAGCCCAATTTTAAAAGAGCATACAAAATCTAATTATGTACAAGGGAAAGAAATGTTGACGACCCATTTTATAGTTCTTTCTATAGAATACTAATATGTTTATAAGCAAAATTTGAGCACTCTTTTAAGAGCGTTGGTTTATCTGCTCCTTTTTTTCTACAACCAAGGCCTAAACCAGAATGCCTGAAAAATGGGTTATTTGAACACTGCTTAACACAAGTGTCAAAGCCTGCTACCTTTATCTTCTGAAAATATCAGTATTAACTTCCCTACATTTAAACGCATTTCACTCACCAACAGGGTTCACTTGAGGCTACCAGCAGTGAGTGGCCTTTGCATTTTTCAGATTGGACCATTTTTCATAATGCAACTGGCATTATGTAGATGGAGTAAGATGTGACTCAGCGTGCAGCTTACATAAACTTTCTGATTCAACTTATTTCAAAGGCAGTCGCCTTTAAGACTCAGACAACTTCAGTTCCAACTTTCTATTTTTTTCTCCTCCTGTGAAAGGTCTCATAAAGGTTCTTGGCTTTCCACAGTGTGAATATTCACACCCAACAACAGGCTAACTGGCTTGACATTCTCAATCATAGGAAGCCCAGCACGACAAAGGACAAAGAGGCGGGAGGTCTATTTCTAAATTTGAGTATTTGGGAACCATTTTAGTTAGTGACCTCTCGTTACAACTCATAGCATTTGGTTTTAAGTTTTTTCTCTTTAAACTAGGGGTTCAATAAAAAACAAAAGTCTCAAAAGAAAATGTCTTTTCAAATAAAACATGGAAAACTTCTTCTAATCTGGTAAAGGAAACCAGACATTGCTACAAGTAATTTTAATAAGATTTTTTTTTTTTTAGTTCCGTGTTAATTTATGATTGATTTCCATGGTAACATTATGGAAAATATCCAGCAAACTGAAAAATCTACTGCATTAAATGTCATTCTTCACTTCTGACATGCACTACAATAATAAGATACGTATCTCTGCTTTTGAAATGCTAACTGGGTTTTTGATACATACACCAGACTTTCCCAATGGAATATAAACCAATTATTTTTAGCCAGGATTTTATTATGTTCTTTCCACTAAATTTAGTTCAGTGTCAGAATTCACAAAGGATAATGCCTGTATGGTCTTAAGCACTAGATTACCTTTACATCACACCGAGAAATGCATATTTTGGAAAGCTATTCTACTTTTGAGACTTGTTCACTGGGTGTATAGGATATTAACAATAAGTTGCTATAGTACTTCAGCACAAGACTGATATCATGTTATTGCATTTACAAAAGATCATGGTGGTTAAGCATTATTGTGAAAGGATAACAGCAAAAACTTACCATGTATTCATTTTTCTTATACCTTCCTGAAGGTTTTTATTTTTTGATCCTGCTAGATTTGATAAAATAATTTGGTAATTACCAACTGCCAAGAGTTAATCAGTATCTTCCAAATAAATCTATTCTTGTTTACAGTAAAGACAGCTTTTCGAACATTTCTTTTTTTTTTTTTTTTTTTGCATATTCTGGGCCATCAAGATTTAAAATCCCTTAACAAATTCTATAATCAAAATATCATTTGCCAGTTTGGACCAACAAAAGAAACAATAAGTAGCAGTCATAACATATGGTCTTGATTATAAAATGGAGGATGGGGATTGCCAAGGAGCAGATGGTATGTATATATGACCCCTAACACCAACAAGTTTTCTATCAATTTATCCTTTTTTTTTTTAATTTTTTGTTTATTGCAGTAACATTGGTTTATAACATTGTATAAATTTCAGGTGTACATCATTATACTTCTATTTCTGCATGGATTACATCATGTTCACCACCCAAATACTAATTACAACCCATCACCACACACATGTGCCGAATTATCCCTTTCGCCCTCCTCCCTCCCCTCTTCCCCTCTGGTAACCACCAATCCAATCTCTGTCTCTATGTGTTTGTTTGTTGTTGTTATTATCTACTACTTAATGAGGGAAATCATACGGTATTTGACCTTCTCCCTCTGACTTATTTCACTTTGCATAATACGCTCAATGTCCATCCATGTTGTCTTGACAACAACTCTGTACTGGGGACTAAATGGACCATTATAAAAATATCAGAACGAATATTTTTGATTCAGGTGTATCATCCCATAAACATTGTCATAACTCAGCTGTACTATGAGGTAAACACATGCTTAAGAAAACGTAAGAACTTGTTAGAGATACAGATCAAGGAAGTACATTCAAGTTCTTACTGGTTTTGACGCTGTAGCGAATGACATCCTGGCAGAGCTCCAGCAGCCTGTGGTGTGGCTCTCCTGTGTCTCTCATCTCCAAATCAAGAAGTTGTTTCAGCTGTTCAGGAGACCGCCATTCACACACCTGGAGATTCAGCAACGGCACAGTTAACCGAGCACCCACTAGAGCCTGGTGTTGAGAGGGTACTGGAATCCTGGACCCCACCCTTTGGAAGCTTCCAGACAAATGGAAGAGACAGAGGTTTAAACATGCAACCACAGTTCAGCATGAAAAGAGCTAGGACAGTAATGTTGATGTCTTTGGAACAAATGAGGGGACCCATCTTAGATTTGGAAGGTCGAAGATTTCCTGGAGGAACTGATATCTAAATTGTTACACGAAATAAGAATAGAGTGAACCAGGCAAAGATTAAGTGTTGGGGTAATGCAAGGGGCATCCTAGGTAGAAGTAACAGAAGTAACAAGGCTGAAATATAAGGGAGCTCGTGGCACTTATGAAGAATGAAGTAAGTTTGGGGTGGCTAGAACACCAAGTTTGAGGAAGGGAGAGGCAAGAAGTAAATATGGAATACTGAAATAACTTCCTAACTAGTCCCTCTGCTTGTACCTTTGCCCCATATGGTCTACTATCAACCTAGCAGCCAGAATCCAGAATGATCCACTTAAATCTAAGCCATGGTCATTCCTCTGCTCAAATGCCTCCAACGGCTCCTCATTTCCTTCAGAGTAAAAGCCAAAGTCCTTACAATGACCTGAAACAATTCTGTTTAATCTGCTTTCCCTGGTGGTGTTTCCTCTGTAGTCTCATCTAGCACTGCTTTCCTCCTGGTTGACTCTGCCTGCCACCCTGGCCTCCTTGCTGTTCCTTAAATGCACCAGGCACACTTCCACCCTAGGGTCTTTGCACTGGCTGTGCTCTTTGCCTGGAATCCTCCTCCCACAAATAGCCTCATCCCTAACTTCCTCATTTCTTTCAAAACTCTGCTCAAACATCACTTTCTCAACGACAGCAATCCTGACTCCCCATGTAAAATCACAAGGTGCGCATTACCCCCTCTCCATCAATCCCTACTAACTTTTTCTACTCTTCCTTTTTCCATAGCACTTATCACCTTCCAACATACTATGTAATTCATTTATTATGACCTACATAATCTCCTTGAGAGCAGAGATGTAAGTCTGTTTGCTCACTGGTCCCAAGTAACTAACACAGACCCTGCCATATAAGAGGTTCTCAATAAGGATGTGATGAATGAATGAATGAAGAGATAAACAAGACTCAGATCATGACAGGCTTTCTGTGGCATGTTACAAAGTCTGAATTTGGTTCTAAGGAATCCACTGAAATGTTTTGGCCAGGGGAATGATATGATTATATTTGTGTTTCAGACAATAGCTTTAGTTGCTATATGGAGATTCAAGTAAAATTGGAAATAAGAGGTTACTGTAATAAACCAGGCAAGAGAAGGTTGTGGTAGTCTAGACGAGAAGTAGATGCCATAGGAATGAAGTATTTCTAGAGATATTTAAAATGCAGAATCAATAGAACTTGGAAATAAATTACATAGTAAGGATGAGGGAGAAGGATGAGCCCAGGATAATACTGAGGTGTCTAGCTTGCACACTTGGGTCGATGGTGGTGATGGGAAGAAGAATCTAGTTGTGGGTGGTATGGGGATGATAAATTTTGAACATATTTAGTTTAAGACCTTTCAGGACATCCAAAATGGGTGTAGCAGTTGGTCTGAAGCTCTCGTGACAGATCAAGAACAGAGTTCCAGGCGTACATTCTGGTCACATAACATGGATGACACGGCTCAGAGAGAACCTACAGTTATGAGGAAAAGGTGCCGATCTCACCTGGGCAACACCAGCACTTAAGAAATGGGCAAAGGGAGAGGTGCTCACTCGTGAGGTGGAGGACAAGCCAGAGAGGCAGGGAAAATCCTGGAAGAGTTTAGTGCAACTAAAACAAAGGAAAAAGAACGTTTTAAGAAGGAGAAGATGGCCATCACCATCAAATCCTGCTGGGAAGCTGAATTGGATGAAGACCGAGAAGTGCTCGTGGGATTTATCAACAAGGAGGTGTTCTTGGCAAAAGCAGCTTGACTTAGAGAGGTGGGAGTGGAGGCCAGATTGCCACGAAGTAAGGATGTAGGAGGTGAGGAAACAGAGGGAGGGAGAGAGAGAGGGAGCGTAGACAATCTTAAAAAAGTTTGGCTGCAGAGGGGAAGAGAGAGACAGGGGTAGTCAGGAAACGAGAAGACCAGGAGGTGGGAGGTTGGGGGAAGCAGGAGGAAATACCAAGTTGGACAAGAGGCATGAATTTAAACTCTGATGTTAGAACCATCATAGGCAGAGGTAAATCAAAAGTGACCGGGACAATCAAAGGAATAACTACTGACACACACAACGACATGGATGAATCGCAAATGCATTTTGCTGAGAGAAAATAGCAAGACTGAAACATCTGCTTGTGATACAATTCCATCTATCTGACATTCTGGAAAAGGCAAAAACCTCAGGGGCAGAAAACAGATCAGTTGCTGCCAGTGGCTAAAGAGGATGGGAGGGGTTGACTATAGAGCACAGAGAAATTTGGGGGGTGATGGAACCGTTCTATATCTTGATTGTAGTGATGGTTACACAACCTTCCAAAACTCACAGAACTGCACACCAAAAGCAGTAAATTTTGCTGAGTGTAAATTATAACTCAATTTTCATAAAAGAGCGTCTACAAGAGAGGGCACTACAAGTAATCATCTCACTAAGTGTAGAGATGTATCCTCAGGTCATCTTTTAATGGTGCCCTGTTGGTTCTCCGACAAAGTAGTCTAAGTCAGTAGCATAAAAATTTCACCTCCCTCCCTCAACCCCAACATAGCTTTCAGTTCAACTTCACATGGATAGCCTGCACATCTACTATATTGTGATCCATTTGTGGTTCCTTAATTGGTAACTTAGGATTTTAAGCCTCCCCTTCTCATCTTATTTCCCATTGGTTCCCTATATGAACTTCTTTCTAGGCAAAATAGGTCCCTTTGCTTTGATAAATACATCTTGTCCTTTTGCAACTCACTTTCCATTACTTTCCTTCCTGCTTTCTTCAAACACACATGGGCCAACATCTCTCTGTCCATCAAAATCTTACTTAACCATCACATTCCACACAAAGCTCAAAGTGCCCACTCCTCTGTGAAATCCCCAAAGTCAGCCCAATCACAGGGTATTTACCACATTCTTACTAGAACCGCCTGTTTTCCAATAAAAACTTACCCTTCCAATTAGATTATAAGTTCAGTTCAAAGCTGAGCCTTTATCTTATTTTTCTTTATATCCCCCAGGGCTGAATATAATGCCTAACACTCAGTTAATATTTAATGACTGAATAAAAGCCAATTAAAAAAAAATTCTTACCAGAGAAGCAGTGTGCTCCAAAGTAAAGTAGGTCCAAAATATTTCACCAGTACAGATAAGATCAGAAAATATGCAATTATAAATATATAATCAGGAAATACCATCAGTGATTTTGCCTTGAACATAACTCTTCTAAGTTCATGGGTCATTTCAATTTATTTTTCTATTAGTTTTCCCAAATGCATATGATCAAAAATTCAGAATAAATACCACTTCATATTACAAAAATTTTTTAATGACATTTCTTTCTGAAAAATAGAATTGGAATAAAAATCTATCCTATATATTCATTTGTTCATAATCCAATTCTAATATGAAAGGTGATCAATGTGATAAAGGGTAATTCAGGGATTTTCAGAGACATATAGAGGAGTAGTTAAAGCACAGACTCTGAAGCCTCACTGCTCAGATTTTAGTGTGGGCTATATGATAACCACTAGAATGTGATCTTGGGTGAGGTACCTGACCTCTTTGTGCCTCATTTTTTCCCTCGTCTCTAGACCAGAGTTGATAAATAGGACCTGCCTCTCAGGGGTTGTTAAGGGTTAAATACACAACTACATGGGGAGTAGTCCTTAGAACAACACTTGGCACATTCTACCCTTAAGAGTAGATGTTATTAGTAGAGTTCCAATATCTTTTTGAATCTAAATCTGAGCCTGAATTTGAAACCTAGAACCAATAGCTGATACCAGTCAGAAGTCAGACTTAACAATCCAAGATTTCGAGCCTAAGTTCAGACAAGCTTCTGGTAAGGACCCTCAGATAAATTTAAAAACTTTTCACACCCGTTTCTACCTTCTGCTTAGTTTTTACTAGCAACATAAAGCATTGCACAAAAAGATAAGGAGCAAAGTGTGTTTTAGAGAGTGTATAAATCAGATCATCAGGTTATTTATAATCTATATTATTATCTAGGGCAGAAAGCTTCGTCCCTGTGTTTCACAGCCTTATCTGGTTAAGTTCTGGAACCTCAGCCAGTCTCCCAACAAATGATGGCTGGCACAGTTAGGAGTCAACCCTTCCAGGAAAGCAGATACTGGGTGGGGGTTGGAGGGGGGCAGGTGCAAACATTGGTATAGGGCAACCCCTTGAAACAAATGTTTAGAGGAAATTAAAGCACATGCTTCCTGTTTTCTTTATATCTAGCCATCCAGATTTGGAAAAAACCTATCTTTCCCATTCGTGGGATTTCTCATAGGCTTTTATCCCTACCTTCTCATTGATATCTGTAGCCTTCAAAACCACTTCTTCCATTATTAGCCTACACGCCTCTTCAACAAATTTTTCTCCTGCTTTTGCATCTGTTGTGGGACCATTCAGTATGAAGCCATCCACGAGAACAGCACTCTTCCTACTTGGAACCATCTCTTCTTGATCAATATCTCCTGGAAGCACACAAACAAATTGTGTTTGAGAGAGAATCTAATTAGAGCACACAACAAAACACAGGCAAAAACATGGATCACCCTCCCGACTTCAGGTGGCATTTGGGACATTGAAGCTGACAGTTTCTTATGGTGCCCAATGGCATGATAGAGTCAAGGAAAGAAAGTTCTATTTTCCATTCCTGCAGCATCTTGTTTAGCATCAGGGAGTGTGGAAGAGCTCAAGAAATGTAAATCCAACACATTTTACTCACTTTTGCAAGCACCTTTCAAACGCACGTGCAAAAAGATCTTTGTAAACACAAGCCCATGTCTATTTCATGCACCCACACCCTCTTGTAATTTTTTAAGGATTGCCATATATTTCCTTTTAATAAGTCATTTATAAGAAGAAAAAACAATATTGACATGTCACTTCCCTTATTTTTACAGTTTTTAAAAATTTTATTTATTTATTTGTTTTATTTATGTATTTAATTTATTTATTGGTGAGGAAGATTGTCCCTGAGCTAACATCTATGCCCATCTTCCTTTATTTTTGTATATGGGATGCTGCTGCAGCATGGCTTGATGAACAGTGCTTAGGTCTGCTCCCAGGATCCGGGCCCACGAACCCCGGGCCACAAAAGTGGAACCCATGAACTTAACCACTACGCGACTGGGCTGGTCCCTCTTAATTTTACATTTTAAGCCTATGTTTACATGACCTTTGATATCACAGACACTGCCTTGTCCCTGAGAGCCCCTCCTTAAATCTACGCAGTCATTTCCTACTGAAAGGAGGATAAATGAACGTGAGCAGCATGATAATCTGTGTAAACCCATATGTAATGCCTTTAAACTTTTCAAACTTGCAGTTTAAGCACAGGCAGAAGGATGGAACAGAACATTTTCAGGACAGTACAACTGCCAGTCAGTGACTAAAGGTTAAGAGTCAACATGAAAATCTATATCTGAGAATAAAGGTTACTGCCTACCCAAAATAGCCCTCCACAAAAATAATTCTGGCAACTAAATCCAGATATTCAACCAATATCTGCCATAAGCTTTGATTCGCTAGTATTCTCTTTTTCTAATCAGTATCTCTTTCCTCATGTTCTTTGAGTTGTAGAAATTTACAGAAACAGTTTTAAAAAGTATTTTTCAGCCCCACACCCAGCACAGTGCATTGCTTTACATACTTTGTAAATCTACCTTAAATATGCTGACGGTCTATATGTATTTCAAATATTTTTATACTTACTGAGGGCTTTAACAGTATTAACATTTATTATGCCTTAGAGTCCGTCTTCTCCTCAAAGTTAAATGTTTTGGAAAAATTCTGTGGTTTTATAAATCCTTTAATTCTATTACTGGCAAACTCAAATGGCGTCCGCGGAGGCAGATAAATATGTCACAGGAAGATTCCCCAATTTGGGAAAGATGGAATCTGCAGCAAAGGACCAATCTTTTATCCTCACACTGAAGGGTAAACCATCCAGAGCTCCAACGATGAATTTTAGTTCCATCCTTCACTTTCACTCGAAAGGATGTATTTAACATGGTTTAGGGCCAAATGTCGGAAATGAGCTTTTAGACAGAAATGCTCTATACCTAAAGGCACTTTCCTCCCCAAAATTTTTAGGTCCTAAAAATAAATTGGAAAAGAGGGCAATTATTCAGGGAACCCTGGTTATGTCAGTAGGCAGTACTATTATTAAGCACACAGAAAAAGTTAGGTTTTTTTAACCTCATTCGTAGGGTTTCAGGTTTTTATTGCCCAGGGAATAGCAGCCACTCTGTAGCCCTCTCAGAGTCTCTCTCACTCTCTCTCTCTCTCTCTCTCATTCTCGATTTCTCTCTCTCTCTCCTTCTCTTTCACACACATACACACGCAAAAAAACATCAAACACCCACTTGCAACCAGAATAGCAGTGAAATTGAAATTAAAATCATCTCTGTCTCCACAGCAATCGATTAAAAAAATCCCCATAATTCATACAATTATCTAGGAGAAAATATTATTTTTAAAAAACTGTAAAGAATTAGGTATAGATTATGCCTCTTTTCTTGATAGATATGTTTCGTTTCTATCGCCAGATGTGATGATGTGCCTCTTCCTTCCCCTGCATTTGCCCAGATTGGAAAAGGCCCTCTGGAAATTGTACAGTGGGTCAAGCTGTGATCTTCTGTGAACGCGTATTCAGGACCTCTGATCTAACTGCTAGAGTTTATAGTGGTTACTACTGCAGCCTTTCAATTGGAGGATGCTTCCATGAAGAATATATGCAGAATCTGACTGCTTTTCATCACTCACTCCCCTACCACCAGCAAATGCTTAGATTAATGTAGTAGCCTTCCAACTAACCCACCAGATTCCAACCTTGCCCTGCGTGCCATGTGGACTATTCTTAACATAGTAGCTCGTATGTTCTTTTGAAAAGATAAGTCAGATCACATGATGACTCCCCTACTCAAACCATTTAATGACTCTTCATCTCATCACACTAAAAGTCAACGTCCTTACAATGATCCCTAAGGCCCGAAATGAGCCCCTTTCCCCATTATCTCTCGGACCTCAAACCTCATCTATTACCGTCATCCAAGCTCACCAAGTTCCACCCATTTTGGCTTCTTCACTATTCCTTGACTCTTTCCTTAAATATCATCTTCTTAGTGAGGCCTTCCTTGACGACCCTATTTAAAACTGCAACCACTTCTCTCCCCACCTTCTTTCTCTGCTTTATTTGACTCAAGAGCAGTGATCACCATGTGATACATGATATGTATTTATTCATTTATTTGTTTAGATATCTGTCTCTCCAATAGAGGTTAAGCTCTATGAGAGCATGAGGTTGTGTCTGTCAGTTTCAATTCTGTTTCTGCAGCATCCAGAAAGTGCCTGGCAGTTTGTAGGAGTTCGACAGACATTTGTTGGCTATTAAATAAAAGAAGCCTTCTCTAATTCTTCAAGCAGCCAGTGATAATGTCCCCCTCCTCTGAGACGCCATTGCAGGTTACCAGATCTAACTGAGCAGGAAACACTCATGGCTAGAGATGGGGCAGACACAGAACACAATTCAAGGGCTAGAGAAGAGACAGCAGGGACTGAAAGAAGACCCTGAGGAACAGGGTCAACTAGGCAAAACTGAGTTTGTGGCCTCCGGATTATTCAAGAAACCATAGACGAGAGGCTTTCACTTTCCTCTCCTCTCCATTCTTTTCACTGCAGCCACTCTCTTTCTATGCTCTCTCCTCTCCTTTTTTATAGTCATTTAACTTCTGAGAGTCAGTACATCAACAAGTCTCACTCTAGGAACCACACTTCCAAATGTGAAGGTCAGTCAACCCCTAAACACTCTGACTTCTGAATTTCCACCAACTCCTCAACTCAACACCTTCCAAAATTCTGCATAAGAACAACTTTTGTTTTGTTCAAAGAGAGATACAGCTCTCCTCTGCTTAACAAACAATAAATTCAGCTTCAAATATTGTTTCAGGTATAGAGAGGTGTGCTCTTCCTTTGACATGGGATTAAATGAATTAATACAGATAAAGACTTAAAACAGTGCCTAGTACATAGTGGGCACTCAATGTTATTAATATTAGCAAACTCAATAAACGTTAGCTACTAGTAGTAGACAATCAATAATATTTATTAGATACATAAATGCCTAAGAGCAAAGTGAAATTTGCATGTGACAGTAAGCTATGACAGTAGAAAGGGGGGTCTCCTCAGAGTGGTCAAATGACCAGGGTAATGACCTCTAGACCAAGTGCCTGGTGACTTGTCCCCTGTGGAAGGGTGGGAAGAGGGGGCCACAATGGCAGGAGATTGCCCCTGTGAAGAGAGTAGAATTTCTTGCCACAATGTTTAGAACACAAGATGGCAGCCAAGCAGTTTAGCCCATGCTGGGTGGGCAGCTGTCCAGACCTCTCGCCTTGTCAGTTTCCACCATGCACTGTGGTTATCTGTGTAGAGGTTTTATTTCTTGCATCGGATTGTAAACTCCTAGTGGAAAAGGATCTATGTCTCATTCTTCTAGGCATTCCAGAAAACAGTTTAGCAGTTGACATTAGCAGGCAATCAACAACTCTCTGAGGACCGACTGGCTGACTGTATAGTTATCTTGGAAGTCATCTTCTCTAACCCTTTCATACAGTCCAAAAATCCCCTCCACAACCCAGTGGCCTAGACATGCAGGAGAGCTGAGTTCTAGTCTCACCTGGTCACTCCCAAGCTCTGGATCCTGGTATAATACAACCTCTCGGGGCCACAGTTTCCTCATCTATAAAATAGGAGACAATCTTTGGAAAGCGCTTGGCTGGCTGCCAGAAAATTCCTGGGAAGACTAAAATTCAGCTTCCTGAGTTGCTACCCAAAAGATTTTGTTCCAGACTCGGGCCTAGAATCTCAAAATTTTGCAAGCACTCTAACTTACACCAATAGCACTAGAATATACTAACATGCAGGTGGGTTTACCAATCATTATTCTGGGTGACCTCTAAGGTCTTTCCAAAATCTAACATCTTCAGTTGTCTGCCTCTCTCTCATTCTTTAATAGTTATATATTCATTTCAACAAACATGTATCCATCACCTACCATGTGCCACACACTAAAATGGATGCTGAAGACATGAATTGGATCATCTCCTTGAGAATCTCAGTCTCATTGGACAGTTAAATGCTGAAAATTTACAATAGTGCAAGACATATACATATATAGCACTTACTATGGGCCAGGCTCTGTTCTAAAAGTTTTATAGATTTAACAAATTTAATTGTCACAAAAACTCCACTCAGTTGCTCAGTTTTATAGTTGAGGAAACTGAGGGTTTAATTGGCTTGCCCAAGGTCACAGAGCTAGTAAGTAGTGAAACTGGGGTAAATAACATATGAAGTTCTACAAAGGAGCAACAAGATTCTGCTTTATCGGCGTCTACAATTTGCAAGGCACTGTTAGGATGTTAATAATGGCAGCAAGATGAATTGGACTGAGTTCCTGTCCCCAGTAATTGAG